ATTCCTTGTAATGGAGGCAATCTTGGACCTTTCAGACCTTAGCTACAGCTAAAGCTTGTTAGTTATTAATACTCTGTATCTTTGAGAATTAGAATCATCCTGAAAACACTAGGCTTACCCATTACTATGCCATTAAAAGTGTCCTTCAGTGATGACATGGAGCTTTATTACTTAAACCAAGTGATCTGCACTAGTAATTTACCAATCAGATTGTTAAATTTAGAATAAGGCATAAGTGGTAAACTTACTGAAAAATTTAAGTGAGGCTCTCTTTATTTTGGGTGGCAAGGAGGGAAGGTAGTTGCTCATGTACTCCCAAGAGGCTGCCACTAAAGTATTGATTTCACTGCCTTGTGAGACAGATGCAGGTAATAATTGCAGTGATTAAATTACTTCTGCTTTGGGTTGCAGGCTGTAAGGTTTACGTCGAAAATGGTAGGATGTGAAAGTTCTGACTGTTCCATAGAGAATCCATTGTTGTTTCCTGTGTTGGTGGTGTGTTGCTAGAATGTTCTTTGATTTCATTTTGTATGTATTTGTTTCTAATTCAAAGTGAGTATTCACAAGGCTTAGTGTAATTATGTAATGGGGACAGACAGCAACATCAAGCATCAGAGTAGAATTTTGACTTAATTTGAGAGATATAAATACAAATACTATATCAAAATGCCTGTTTAAACATAGTGAAGGATAAATTTTAAAGATTGATTGTGAAGTTCATATGTTGTCTGGGATTTACTGTTGATATTAGTCCTCAGTCTTCCAGCAAACCATTACATTCAGTTATGTAACTCTCTGCAGGATAAAATGCAGGTTGATCAAGAAGAAGGTGTACAGAAAAGTCAAGCTGAACAACAGAACCAGGCAGATGAGGAAACTGAAAATGCTGGAACTGAAACAAAGGTTTGTATTCAGTATTGATAGGATATTTTTTGCCTAGTATTCTCACACTTAACTGATTTTGCTAGTTGGAAAACATGGGACTGTGTTTAGAGGACAGCTATATTGACATGGATAAGTAAGGAATCCTACCATAGCACTTCAATTTTCAACATACCATGATAAAGACTTTCAAGTAGGTGTCTGCTGTTTAACCTGGTTTTATAATGAAGATGGAATTTAGGGAGATTACGAAACATTGTGAAGAATAATATGCAGTGCTTTTAAGCTTTTGAACAAGTTTACTTAGCAGTTCTTTAAAGAAATTCATTTCACCTGTTTGGTTCCAAACTAAGGCAATAGTGATTTTGAATACAGAGAAATAATTAGGTGCTTCATTTACATAAGGTGAATTTGTAGCTATCTTAACTAGTTTCATTTGTCTCTTTTTTCAGCATAAATATAGTATTATTTTGGTTCCTGGAAGTTCCTTACTAGTGTCTCTCTTTTCATAGGCTACTTCTGGAGAAAAGCAAGATCATCCCTCCCAGCCAAAGGCTAAAACAAAAGTTAAGAGTATTGATCTCCCTATACAGGCAAGCCTCTGTAGGCAGCTGGGACAAGATCTGATCAATTCCTATATAGAAAATGAGGTAAGCAGCATAAAGAGGTGACTACTCAAATTAATGTCACTGTGTAAATAAGTATCTAAAAAATATTTGAAATTATTGACTTATCTAATTTAGAATTCTTTAGAAAGTTGCCCATAATTGTAACAGGTTTTGTTTGTGGTTTGGTTTTTTGGTGAAATGACTCAATTTCTGTGGACTTAGTTCATTCTGGTTGTGTTTGTAGTGATGACTTACACAGAAGTGAACATTTTTATCAGTAATTGTGAATTATCAGGCCTCTGCCAGCTTCTCTGGTACAGTTTGAAGAGTAGTCACTAAGCTTAAAACTTAAAAATGCTTTCAGTTTTCAGTGTGCCTTTCTCCACCCTAGGGGAAGATGATGATGCAAGACAAGCTTGAAAAGGAACGAAATGATGCTAAGAATGCTGTTGAAGAATATGTGTATGAATTCAGAGACAAGCTGTGTGGAGCCTTTGAGAAATTCATCACTGAAGAAGTAAGACTTGCTTATACATTTCAGCTGTTGGGAAAAGTTCCTTTGTGTTTATAATTTTGAGTGTGTGTTCTGTGAAGGCTGCAGGGTTCTCTTGGACTACTTTTGGAATAGGAGATGGCTTGACTTCCCAGCAGTGAAGCTCAAGTTACACATGACATTTGACTTGCAGAGTTCTTTACTGCCTGAGAAGCTCCTCAGTGGCAAGGAAGGGTCAGGGATGCAGGCAGAATGTGAAAACCCTGTGGTCAGCCTAGGAAAGTAGGACAGATCACCACGAGCCTCTGAATGGCTGAGTGGGTAGGAGTAAAAAGGAAATGAACAGATAATATGGAACACTCTTCAGAGGTGCATGGACTGCCTTAAATAGCCTCAGGACTGATTTTATAATTCTGGTAAACTTCACCTGCAAATCACATGAGTAGGGTTGTCCTGCCTCTCTCATCTCTGCAAAATCTTGGCTTTGAAGTCTGTTAATTACTGTTTTCCTTCACTCTCACTTGGAATATTTTAAGCTGATGAAGCAGTCCTTTTTTGAGTAGGGTGGGTTTGTGCCAGGAAGAGAAGTCTTATTTGATGTGTTCCTTTCTGGCTTGGAGTGTCCATAATTTGCTTTGTAGGACTCCAACAAGCTGACCTTGATGTTGGAGGACACAGAAAACTGGCTTTATGAGGATGGAGAGGACCAGCCAAAACAAGTCTACATGGATAAGCTTCAGGAATTAAAGGTAAGGTTTTTTAAGTTGTTTTCTGGAAAACTCACTCATATTTAGAACTAGAAGTACAGTTTAATGCGAGTTGTGTTCCTAATTTGAAGATGGTTGAAATGAAGCAGACTGTCACTAATGACAATAGATCTAATTGCTCTGGGAATTTTCTGTCAGACTTCTTGCAGTCTGAAAGAGGGTTTTGAGTAGTTTGATTGCACTCCTGGGTAATGAGAATTACGGTCTAGAATATATATTCTTTTTTTCCTGTTCTCAGTGATCTTCTTTAGATTTATAGTAAGACTGATTTTGGGGTATAATATCCAACAATAAAGGCTCTGGAGTGCTTTAACAGTAGCTTCCATTGTATCCTTGGATTATTGATGACAAACACCTCCTAAATGCTTCAGATTTTAAGGATCTGGTGGGGAAAACACGAATTCTGATGAATAACTACCTACTTTATTGGAAATTGATGTACGTGTCTAGCCCTTGGGTTCCAGCTATTTACTCTCCAGTCACATTTCCTCAAGGGGAGGAATAACTAATGGAAACAGCAGTGTAGATCCAGTCAACTGCCTGGATACCAGGATTCAAGAGAAGGAAAAAGCAAACAGTGGATAAAATTAGATGTTTTCAGATTAACTACTTGAAAATTAAAGCATCTGTTAAAGCCTAACTGGTTTCTGTTGCAAGTGCATTGTTCCAAATGTTCTTTTTGCAAAAAAACCCAGAAAAATACCAACCCTAGAAAGCACAGTCACTATTCCTGTGTTTAAACTTCTGCTTTTTTTTGTTGTTGTTGCCTAAAGCAATATGCAGAGACTTGGCTCTTTGAAGGGGTGAGAAGGCAGCATTCCTACCCATGCTGCATTGTATTTTTAGAACAGACTAAAGGAAATACGTGTTTTGTAAACATCTTTGTGCTTATTATTCCAGAAATTTGGACAGCCTATCCAGGAAAGATGCATGGAACACGAAGAGAGACCGAAAGTGCTAAATGAACTGGGGAAGAAGATTCAGCTCCTTATGAAAGCAGTAGAAGCATACAAAAATAAGGTAAAGCCAAATGCTTCAGCCGTTCAGTGATTGCAGGTGTTTTGAGTTTGGCTGTAGAGAGTCTTTTGTGTTTAAACAAATCCTGTAAAGTTAACTCTTACACTGCTTTAGAAGGGCTGTTGTACTTCTGCTCCTGAGAGCTTTAAACTTGTTCAGCATTGCTAGCAGAAGGAGCTGCTTCATGAGAACTTAAATCAGATTTATGTGTTTTTATACTGGTACCACTTGAGATGGATCTCTGAACTTACAGCTGTTACTGGTGTTTCTGTAACTGAAAATTAACTTAATTGGGTGAGCAGCATATTTTAATTAGTGATACAAATACCTCTCTCTCCCCCCTTAGGATGAAAAATACGACCACCTAGATCCTGCTGAGATGGAGAAAGTTGAAAAATACATTAATGAGGCTATGAATTGGTTGAACAGCAAAATGAATGCCCAGAACAAACTCAGTCTAACTCAGGATCCAGTTGTCAAAGTGGCAGAAATACTAGCAAAATCTAAGGTAAAAAAAAATAATTGTACTTGTTGCATTCTAATCAGTTTTTCCTGAACCAGATTTTAGCCTAGATCTGAGCTAGAATTACACATCTGCAGAGATTTTAAAGCTATTAAAAGATCTGTACAGGGAGCAGCAGTTACAGCGCTCTTCAGTGCTGGCTCCTGATTTACAGTAGTACTTCTGCACAAGCCTTTTTAAATACCCTGAGTTACAGCACCAGGTTTCTAGAGAATTGGCTGTCACATACAGGTTTGTAGCAAATCAGAAGTTCCTCAGCCTCCTGAGAGGCTTTTTTTGAAGCTTCTAGACTTTGCAGCATAGAGAAATGTGGTCCTTCACAATGACGTTCCAGGCCATTAGGGACCAGAAACAAATTAGAGGCATTGTAGTTGCGTGCAGCTGCTGTGCCACCGAATGACCTTGCTGTCTCACTTGTGTCACAACTAGGAATTGGATAGCTTCTGTAATCCCATTCTGTCCAAGCCCAAGCCGAAGATAGAACCTCCCAGTGACGGGCAGGCCAAAGCCAACGGGGAGCACAACGGGCCCGTGAACGGACAGAGCGCTGCTGACCCCAAACCCGAACCAGCCAAGGACAACCCTCAGCAGACCAAACCCTCCGGAGAAATGGAAGTGGACTAAACCTTGCATTTCTTTTACTTCATTAAAATAGTGCAAGTAACCACAGGGTCCATTCTTTTTGTCTGGTACACACCTCAGATGTTCAGTTATTCTTAGCCAAACTTCTGTCATTTGTTGCTGAGTAGTTTTGAAAGTGTTTTATATTAAGTACACCTCTGATGTTCATTTCCACTGATGCTGCTTATGTGGAGCTTTAGCCAAATGTAGATTGTATAAGTCAGTTGAAGCTTTCCCAATATATTTTATATCAAACATACAGAATTGATATATAAATGGCAACAATCTACCTTATTTAAAGCTTTTATTGTGGATAAACCTCAGCTCCTTTATTCAGGAAAGGATACTGTATTGCACTACTGATGCTCAAGTGTAGATCTAATCGCATCTTTATTTTGGAAAAATATTGGAATTGAAGTGGCAAAACCTGTCACTTGAAGCACTGACCTTTTCTAGTTATTGTATTGTTATAATTTAAATATTAAAATAGAGGTTAGTTGGCATACCAGTCCATCTTGTTGATGTACCATGAGAATTGTACGGTCTTTTTCATAGGAACTGAATAATCCGAGCTTAAGCATTTTTTGGATTCCCATACCACTACCAGTCTTCATTGCAAACTGCTCCAGCACCGTGGCTCTGCTGTGTGCTGGAATCCCTGGTCTCTGCACATTGCTGTACATACCCTGCTGTGCTTAGGACAGGGTGATGCTGGTGTGGACAGGATGAGAGGGGAGAACATTCAAGGCCTGCTGCGTAGCTTTCCCTTGAAAATGTCTTATTGCACATGGAACTATTAACACTTCTTTTGTTTTGAATTCAGTTTACATCTGATCGTATCTCATCCTGGGGAGGAGGAACAACAGAAACAGTGCTGTGCAAACTGGGTATCATCACCCTGATTTTGAGGTGGCTTAAATGCTGTTTGGTCCAAACTTGAAAGAAATGCTGAGAGCTTATTTAAGCCTTGATACTCCGCACATAAATATTTTGGTCAAGGACCAAAACAAAAGAGCTTAAAAACTGGACATTATTACCCCAAAGGTGGAATCTATCTGTTGAACTTGCATAGCTTACCACTTGGTTTGGTCATTTAGCTCTTTAATGAAAGTTTCTACAATGTATTACACAGTAGAATCACTGTTTCCTTTGATATGTCTTAAACGTTGTCAAGGTCCAGTCTATGTCCCAAATACTTTCCAAATGCTTCTGTCAGTCACTGAGGTGCTGCAGCACTTGCTAAAGCCAGTCACTATTGACTTCAAAACTATTGTTACCAGAGTGGGAATGGACTAGTCTAACTATTAAAAGTGGTTTCTTTACCTAGCATAAGAAAATAAGTTGCAGTGTAATGCTTCAGTGACTTGAACTCTGTCCCAGAAACAAATTTAGATATTAACCAGGCACTCCTACAGCAGTTCTCCTATAGGGTATGTTGCTGTTGTAAAGAAGTGAAGAACCACAGTCCTGTTTCTGGCTTTGGCAGCCATTTTATCTGCAGCTGTGCCCTTCATCTTCTACCACTGTTCATGCTACAAAAAGTAACTCATGACCTCTGGGAGAGGTGAATTCAACTCTCCTATACCTTGACAGAACAAGGAAGCAACATTCATGATTGTACATAAATCTATCTGCCAGTCTAGTTCAAGTGCTGGAATTCTGTCTTCATGACTGCCATCAAGTGACTGAGATGCATGTACTTTGTTCTTGTTCCTCTTCCATGCAGTCAGTGTGGATGGTCTGACACTGTAAGTTCACATGTTTAATGCCCTTGAACAAAAACTGAGTGACTTTGAGGAGAACTGTTCAGCAGCTCCTCTGCAACCTCAGTCTCGAGTTCTGCCATGGTAGTCACACCTCTGGTGCTGAGGGGGACTCTACTGCAGCGTCAGGCTGGGCTGGCTTGGGTCTTGTAGGCTTCAACACCATTTATATCCCAATGGCTTTTAGCACGGCAGCGTAATGAGCAGCATTCTCAACTACTGGCTTCCTGAAATCCAGCTACACAATAATTTCTCTAGGTAGACTTCTTGGTAGCTGTGGCAGAAGAGCACAAAACTACAGAAATCTCCAATAGCTAAAGGGTCACGTGCAAGAACAGTGTCCTCTGCTCATAGCCATCAGATGCTTAATAGCACATCACAAATGTTTGAGGCAGTGCTTAGGATAAAGGCTAGAATAATTCTGCACGCTTAAAAGCAGACATGGTTCAGACAAACAGTTGTAGTCAAGTTTTCTTACTAGAGAAGGGGTTTTCTGCTGTGCATCTGGTCTGTCTCTAGATCCCTGCTGAAGAGGAATGCTGCCCACAGAAGCTGGCTCTGAGGTCCGTGTTAGGAATGCCATTTGGCATGGCAGAGTTGATCTTTCCACAGTGAGGTTCACTTTAATAAATGATTTGCTCATATGTAATCTGTTTCCTGTTACAAAGAGGAGATTTCACCAGGACAGATTTAAGTACTTAAACACTATGCTCAGCTTGAGGTTTTGTGTGTCAGACTCAATGAGCAAGTTCCCTCTGCCTATCCTGACAGCACCAGAGTGAGTGTCTTTGCAACATAAAGTTTTGGTAGGGAACTGGCAGAAGTCTGCTGCTGTGCATCTTGTATATTACAACAGCAGGTATTTGTTGATAATATCTTACTTGAAACTTTCTGCTTATTTGAAAATATTTCCCTCTGTCCCACAAAAAGAAAAAAAGGAAGCAACACAATATTTGTGAAGGCAGTACAGATCATTTAAAAAAAGTTTTGTAATTCAGGTTCTGAAGTTTGATGTAAAGATCTAGTTACAAACCAGCAAGATCTTCCTTCTTCCCTTTAAAGAGGACTCATTCTCTCCTGTCTGGAGCATTAATGGACTTGTTCAAGAAAGGACTTAAAAATTAATTTATTTTAATTTTCTTTACTAAACTGAGTTTAGTTTAGAACTGATTCATGGGTTCCTTTCCACTTTTTTATTATGGTACTTTAGACTCCAAGGAGTTTCTTTGAACTTCAAATGTAACATAAACAGATTTGTAACACTCAAGTTAGGATTTTACGCTCTTCTTTCTTGAAGCTGCTGCTTCATGACAAAATACCCCTTGATTTTGAATGAGGGATTTGATTTTGTATGTCTCAATTGGAACGAAGACGCCTCTCCCTTGCTGGCTTCTGGCAGTGTCCTTGCACTGCGTAAGTGCTGCCTTTGGGGCAGGCTTGCAGAGCAGTGAGCAGCTGATCCTGAATGCTCAGAGGCAGTTGGGAAACACCCAGCCTGTATCCCACAACCTGTATTCCCTGCCAAGGCCCCGGGGCAGAGCGAGGGGAAGGTGCCCTGTCTCTGGCACGCAGCACAGTGGGGGCAGTGCAGTGTCTGTGGTGCAGCTCCAGCGTTCTGGACACCTTGTGGTGTGAGGGATGGAGGCTTTGCTTCTTCCACCTACAAGTGGAAGCTGTTAAGGTAAAGCATCCAATCTGTGTGTTGATGAGATCTCTTTGTATCTTCAACATTTGAAATTCCTTAATATTTTGCAACATCTCTGTGTGCTGAACTCCAATCTCTCCTACAGATTGCTAATAACAGTTCTCAAATATTCCATATTTAATTGAGGGTTTTCCTGTAAGGATTGTTTAAATGTAACTTCAGGAAACAAGCAAGGAGCTGGCAGAAGGGTTTTCTTCCCAATTATTTTTTGACACCAGTGTGAAAAATTAACAGCCTTAACAAAACTTGGAATTTACACTTGTCAGAGCTCTGGTTTTCCGTGCCTGTCAGTTAAAATCCAAAACACAAAGCTGTGTTGCCAACACGCTGCGTTTGCTGGTTCAAAGCACCTGCCCGGCTGTTGTAGGAAAAGAAGCTAAATTCAATTCCTGTAGATGAGTGCTATCATGAACCTCATTCCTCAAAATAGGACTTCTCATTGCTGTGTAATCACACTGTAATACTTCCACATTTCTGGGAGCCCTTTTCAAGTGAAGCTCAGATGCCCAAACTTGAGTTGTGGGCTGGTAGAAGGTCTGCCTGCTCTGAGGATTATTATATTAATTGCCACTAGCTGTGAGTTTATTAACTGGATGGAGGAATATTCTTTTGCCTCTTACACTTCTGCTACTCTTAGGTTTTCTCATCTTTCAGGCACCAGGAGACAGAAACTCTCAAAAGAGGTGTAAAAAACATGTTGCTTAACAAAAGGCGTTAATGCCTCATAAATTATAATTTCAGCTCCCAAGATAGCAGTTGGAGTATGAACACAAGATCTTAGTAGCTACAGAAAGTGTGTGGTGGCTGACTCCTAGCTGAATTCTTAATTTTCTGCAGTTGAAATTTGAAGACTTCAACCACTTACTACACATGTAAATAACAATGAAAACAACTAAATGTGACTGTTGGCACTGCAGAATACTAAGCCAGCAATGTGCTTGATGTGACTTACTTGATACAGCTGCTAAACTTTGGTTTCCTTTCCTGGTCAGAAGGAAATGCGTCAAGCAGTGAAAACCAGGAATCATTGCAATGAAATCCATCAAGAATAACTTTAAACAAAAATGCAATTAAGAGCTATACCAACCAGCCACCTCTACCAAGTGTTGAAATAGTTTAATTAAGTTGATCAAAAAAGATGGTAGTCCCTGAATGTTGCAGTGGTTGGAAAAGTTTCTTTCCATAGTCGATACCCATAACTCCAGGGGATGAGGGGGGAGATGGGAGTGTCAGAATTTAAAGCGGTGTTTAAATATGGAAAATGTTTACCATGTATGTAAAGGGGATCCTTAGTAGTGACAGATCATGTGCAAATTGACAAGACTTGGATTTATTTTTGAATGGCAAGACAGATTGTCAAGGTTGTGTATAATTATAATAAATATATAAACCGCTACTTGAACCAGAAATGACCACCCAAGACCTCATTTTTGCATCAGTGTTCTTAAAAGCAGCTTTGTCTGATGTCGTGGGTTGATACAACTGGAGTTTGTCCAAAAGGCCACAGGTAAGATAAAGGCATTTTTGGTGCCTCACCTGCCCCACTGTGGTTTCTGTGGCCCAGGCTGCTGCAGCACAAACACAGCACTGCCCACTGTGGTTTCTGTGGCCCAGGCTGCTGCAGCACAAACACAGCACTGCTTTGCCTCTGGGGAACTGCAGTTACTTTCACAGCTGCCATCACATATCTGTGTTAGGATGAACACAAATTCCCAAGTTCTCAGTAATTCATCTTTCATTAATGACTTACTGCAACATACAAGTTCCAGGTAGTTTTCCTGTGCCTTGAACTCCTGGGGGAAATGGATGGCTTTGGGCACAGTTGATTCTCTGAGCAGATGCAGAGCAGCAACCTGTGGCTTTCCTCCAGGAATTTTTCTATGTGCTAGCAGTGTAACAGGAATCCTTGTGTTCTCCACCAGGATGCAATGACTGTAGAATTCTGCATAATCAACAAAAAAGCACCAAAACAACATGATTAAACATTTTTATATCCATCTTCCTTGGCACACTTTAAAAGCTCCTCAAAGTCTGCATTTTATCCAGGCTTGGCATTCTTAAATCTCAATAAAGTATTTCAGCTATATTAATTTCACAGGCCAGGTTTGGAATTTCGTGGTGGGGAAAGGTCCTTCCTATTTCAAGAACTGTATATATTTATATGTATATACATACACATATAAAGTACAAATGTAAAAATGCACACTAGAAATCAACTTCCCCTTATCAGTACAGGGGAAAATACTGCCCCTAACCTACTCTGCTGTCTCTGCTGCATCTCCGACCGCTCAATCAGCTCCTTCACACTCCAATATTTACCAGCTCTGCAAGGATGTTGTATCCCATTGTCACACAGCAAAAGGAGTGTTATAGCAAAATAAGGTGAATGTTGAAAGAATCACAGAATATCCTGAGTTGAAAGGGACCCACAAGGATCATCCAAGTCCAACTCCTGGCCCTGAACAGGACACCCTAGCATTCCCACCTAGAGCGTTGTCCAAATGCCCCTTGAACTCTGTCAGGCTTGGTGCTGTGGCCACTTCCATGGGGAGCTTGTTCAGTGCCCAGACACCCTTTGGGTGAAGAACCTTTCCCTATTATCCAACCTAACCCTCTACTGACACAGCTTCAAGCCATTCCCTTGGGTCGTGTCAGCTGAAGGCAGCCAGCTAAAACTCTGAGGGAATTAAAAACACAGCCACAATGTAAGGCTAACAGTGTTTCCATCAGAATGCTTAAGTATATTGTGAGGTCCTAGATTTCAAATTTTGCCTGAAAACCAGCTTCTCTGAACTGTAATATCCTAACGCTGCCTCAAGGGGCTGGCTCGGTGCAGTTTCGGGGAGAAATGAGCTGCTTGTAGAATAAAAACAATTTATTCACAGGGACTGTGTTTGTTGTCAGAGCTTCTGAAACAGGAGTATCCCTGTGATCATTACCATGGCTGCAACTGAATATTATCCTTTACTTTCTCAGCTTAACTCTGTCCTACATTCTTCATTCTCCCTGAAAACATCAGTGTGCTCTTCCTTTTATAAGGTTAATTAGATTTTCAATGGTGCTGAAGCATTTACAATTATAAAGAAGAAAATGACACCTTCCACAGCAAACACAACGTTTAAAGACTACTGGTCAAGAGCATTTTACTTGCAAATTTCTTCAGAAAATAACCTTATCCTCACATGAGAGAACATTCCAGGAATAAAACTGAGCATTGTATAAGCATTGAACACGCAAAAGTAAATGTGAGTTACTAATTATGCCTCTGAAGGACAGTGAAATTAAGTGATTCATTCAAGTCACAAAATATCTGCAGGGGAAAAACATGCTACATTCCCAGGAAAGGAGCCAACACCACCAGGAAGGCAACACACCAGCAAAAAAATCCTAGCCAGAGCTTTGAGTTCCTCCTGTGGAGCATGGCAGCAGCCAGCAGAACTACTCCTGGAAAATAAAATCACAAAACAAAACAGAAAGCATTTGTCTTGAAAATACCACAGGAAGATGTGGCCCAAGAAGTTTCCTTTCTCAGCCAAAAATAACCTTTCCCATTTTACTTACCCTTTTCACATCTTTCAAATGCTCCTGTTGCAATAAATATCCCCCACCCACTCATCATCTACCTGCACTGCCTTGTCTACAATATCAAGGCAGGACAAAATACCATTCTATGGTGATTTTAGCATAGAGAATGGAGATGGAAAATGTGCAGACTGTGTGATGGATTTAATGATAATTCAAGACCAAGCTAGGTCTTCTTAATAAACAGGTCAAATACTGAGCCCACCCTTTCTCATGGAATTTATTTTGACTTGGACAAGTTTTCTCTGTTAGAAATATCACTTAGTGCTCACAAGTGCAGTGCAATCAAAAGAATCACAGAAAAGGCATCTGGAAAAACCTGCAGAGTGGTTCATGTCCTCACTCAGGAACAGGGCACAATCTGGGGCTGTGTTCCATACAGCAACAAATACAGACACCTACAACAGAGGCATCAGCCAAATTAGCAAATCATTCCAACGACCTCATTGTTTCCATAACACAGGCATGATGTCAGCCTGGCTCTGGTGCTAAATCACTGACTAAGCTCACCCTTGGCATCCACAGAGACAGGCTCAACTGTACCACACAGTCACAAATTCTCTAACTTCACTGGGATGGACAAAAGATCTCAGGGGGGAAAAGCTTATCCTGGCATAAATGGTAAAGTCCCACTGGGCTACCAAATGCTGCCATTACAGTCCAACACAATCAGTAAAAACAAAATCACCACCTGTCTTTGACAGCACTAACACAAGCAACACAATATTCCTGTAGCATAGGCTCAAGGCCAGTAACTTCATAGGAGGCTTCAAAGTTGGAATGTCCATAAAAATGTGTTAGTCAGTGCAACAAAGCCTTCTGCCACACCAAGGATTTTACTTAAAACAGATTATATTTAATAACCAGCTTCTCAGAAACAATCGTTCTTTCAACAAAGTTTTTTTTCTTCACTTATATTATAAATGTCTTCCCTTCAGCCAAGGATGAAACATGTTGTCAGTTTTACAGATGAGTAAACTAAATCACATGGCTAACAAGTTTGACTTGTTTCTTAAAGATACAGATTTAAATAAAAAATTCCTTCTCTGAAATAAATTTAATTTCACTACCAAAGAAGTAGGGGAGGTGAGGAAAGAATTTTTTTCCACAGCTTTTTTCTTGATCAGCACAGCAGTGGCACAGTCATTTCCAGGATGAAGAAGTTCTCAGTTATTTTTTTCTGTCTGGAACATGTTCCCTCTGGAGAACTCGCCATCATGCAGACAGATGAGAGCTGCAGCCCTTTCCTGCATGAGCCAAAGCATCAAAAGTGATCCAGGTCTCAAGATATTTGTTCAGCTCCCAGCCTGTATCAACCCAAAGATTCTGCCATCTGAATTCACATTTCCTCTGAGCATGCTGAAGAGAGAAATATCATTCTCTCGAGCAGCCACATGAGGAATATGAAGTGGAGAAAGTTTAAGAAAAAAACAACAAAACAACCAAAACCTGGGCTACTGAAAGTGAAAACAGACTGCACTGCACTGTAGCTATGCTACTGTTAGTGAGACTTAAGCAATAAACATGCCATGGAAAGTTCTCAAGGAAACCAGTCTGGTCTCCCTGGTAGGAGAGAATATCAGGGAGGAGACCTAAGAGCTCAATAATTAAAGCTGAGCATAGGCTTTTGCTTAAGAAAGGAGTTTCAAAGCTAAGCTTTGAACACACTGCTTCACGTACCTCCAAACTTCAGGCACATTGCAAATACAGCCCTGGCACTTTGAAAGGGCCTTGTTTGGGTCCTGCTGCAGTCACAGCAGCACAAAACTCAGCACAGGCGACTTAATCCTCAAACACAGGCCCAGCCTCTGGCTCCAGTAAAACCAGGCACACATGGGTGTAATGGAAGTGACAGCTGCAGTTTTTTCCTGCATGCTCCATTCTCAGTACTTCTGAGAATGGAGCATGCAGGAAAAAACAAACAAACAAACCAAATGTGAATTTCACTGGGGGAAAAAACCCCCTATTATTCTGATTTTCCCTCCTATTCAATATAAGCAAGGCTATTCTATTGAGCTGCAAATGTCACAGAAGAAATAAAACATCCCCACTTTTGAAAAATTTAAATCCCAACCTAGGAATGAAATTGCACCTTTGTACAAAGCTATACAACTTCTCCGATTTCAATGGAACTACAGCTGCTTATTTTAGAGCTGAAAATTCAGTTTAGAGCTGAAAATAGTCCACAACAGTTTCTGTCCTTGGAAAATGCTGTCCTGTGACTGCTTCAGAGGAGTTGCATGGTCTAAGCAGGCACTTCAAATTTATTTTCAGCCAAGATGATGGGAAATAACCACATTCATTTAGTTAGTGATTGGTTCTCTGCTAAAATTGACAGAAATGTTATCCTCTTTTCCTAAGCTCCTCGTATTTTAGAGGAAGAGGAAGGTGAGGTTGTTATGGCCCAGGAGCTACATGAATGTCACAGGTCGTTTGGGATCCCAGGAATACAGCAATGGTCACTTCAGCTTGTTCATTGCCACAACAAAGCTTCTATCATGTGACACAAGGCAGTTCCTGATGGCTGAGGGAATAATCCCATATTTTCACAGTACAAATAAATCCCATATTTTCACAGTACAAATAAATGCACCTCATACTGTGCTGCATGTGATTCCTCCTTTGCTGCTTGTGTGAAGCAGAAATACAGAGTAAATCCATTCATTCTCTCCTGACAGAAGAAGGAATAAACCAAGAAGTTCTACCAAAGCAAATTAACTCAATTTTTTTACCCAGGATGTCTTAAAAGAAGATCTGTACTCAACAAGATGTGGGCTTTTTAACTCTAAAAGACTGTTGAGATACGAATGCTCCATTTATTTAATATAAAAACTGTTTCTTACTGTGTCTTCCTGTATGGGGGCAATAAAGTTCAAAACCCAGTTGTTTTTTATTCAGAGGTCTTTCCGCATTCTGTGGAATACAGACAAAATTCATGTGCTCGCAGTGAGCTCAGTGTATAGGTAAATGCTAATCCCTTAGCACTGTTCTGAAAAACATACATAAGAACAAATGCTAATTAGAAAAAGGATTAAAATATAAGACAGTAATTGCTCTCATGACTGTTGCATAGTTTAATATGGCTTGGAAACACCATTAACAAAGGAATTGTGCCTAAGGGAGCAGTCCACCTTTGCAAGTAAGACTAGCTGTCAACACGGGCAGCTACACCCACTGCTGGCAATTGAACATTCATCAAGGGAGACCAAGGAAATCTCCAGCCAACACCTAAATAAACTCTTAGGAAGGTGGAAACAATGCTGACATTGGGCAAGGACAAAACCAGCAGATGAGCAAATCCTCAGACACCAAACCACACTGAGTGCACGGTTCACCCAATGCCCATCTGCAGGGCTGCAT